CTCCCCGAGACCCCTCTGCAAGGGGATCTCCAGTGGCCTACTAATGGGCTTTGGATCTCCACTCCACACTCCCCCCATCATTCATCTTGTCTTAATGATTTTTCTCCATTGTTTTTCTGTTAGTGTGAGCTTTGGTTATTATGGTGGTGATCTTACTGTGTTCAGAAAGTTAAAGAAAATGATTATATAGAAGAAAAGGTCTAGCTTGTATAAACTTTGTAGAAAAGTGCGTAGTTTCATGTTGTCTTGAGTTCTTGTGTTGCTAAAGATCATCCATACTGTGGCCCTGCATCAAAGTATTTTAGGAAGGTGGTAACAGTGTCCTGTCTTTCAGCATATTCTCCTACAGTCTTGGGATCTGGCATAAAGCTATTTCCTTTAGCAAGGAGAGACGCTTTATTTGTCACACAAAGCCACAAAGTCTTGCCAAACTCTAATCCTTATACCCTTCACTAGGGATTCTCTTCTGTTCGGCAAAAGTGCTATGAGTCAAGCAACAGTGCTGCATTATCTTTTTAATGATGTTTCCTGGCAATCTAATAAAATTCCCTGGTTCTGAATACTGATCCTTCTTCCACCTGCAAATTTACCTTCTTTCTTAAGCTGTAACACTTGTTAAAGGCGTGTAGTTATCTAGTTTCTGTAGGTTGGTAAGTTTCTTTGAATTTTCTAGTCTTTTGAAAAATTACTCAGGTATGCTCAGTTTTTAATATATGAGTGTAGGCTTTCAGCAATTTATTCAGTCTTGTCAAGCTATGCTGGAGAACTTTTAAAAAGAATGATAAAATACATGTTCCACGTGGGCCTTGAAGTAGCAACATGTATTCAGCAGAGAGTTGTACAGGTGGGTATTCAAAATCAGAAGTCTGATCAAGAAGGATGGGGACGATTTTCCTATTACCTCCTCTTGGGGAATTTTACCTGGTGTGTACTCTGGCAGTGTCAGGGTAAAGGTAAGGGCAATTGGAAGGAGTTTGGGTAACAAACCTGGTTCTAGAGGGCCCCTCTGAGGAGTTGCCCCAGGCCTTTCCTCAGCTCTGTAAAAAAGGACACCATTATTCAGCTTGGTCACCTCTGTTTTTTACTGAGGATGGATCCCCTAATTGGATTCATCCTCTTTTCCTGGGGAAGAGTCGGATCAGGTTCTTGGTTGGAGAATTATGAAGACTGAGAAGCATACCAGAACCTCTGTCTTGGGTATACTAGTATAGCAGAGAGATACAAGGACCTCCTGAGGGCTCTCGGGGCCCAGGGGCTGGGATAGTTCTCTGTGCTTTGTGTTAGGCTTGGTTGTCTCGAGAAACAAACCAGTGACACTCATCTGTATATAATAAAGAACTTTATAGCAAGAACTAATTCCATATCAAGAAGGCTTCAAGTCCATACGTCTGCTGTTAGCTGGGGCCCTCTTCAGTCTCATGTAGCTGCAGGTTGAAAGTGCAGTGGGATGCAGGATGATCATAGGCCAGTGGGGGTAGACTTGCATGGATCCAAGGTTGGTGGAACTAGGGCAGTGTGCTGATAGCTCTCAGGGTCAGGTGGCCTTAACTGGGGCTGCCCCAGAGGCAGACACAGAGTCTTTTCGAGCAGGAAGGCAGAGGGCAGAGAGAGAGAGAAAAATTAGTTCCCATTTCTCCCTTATAAGAAGACCACACCTCTAAGGAAGCATCAGTAGGCTGTGAGCTGATTTACAAGTTGGATTTCAGCCTTACACTTTCATTCAAATTCAAGTTGACATAAATTATCATCCAACTACTACAGACTTCTAGCAGAGGGATTGGGAAGCAGGGGGCAGCCACATCTGACCTGCCTGGCATCTATACCCTATACCCAGTTCCCCTCAGCTGTAGGAAGGATAGCTTTGTGCTAGGATTTCTCATGGGATGTGATATCTTCCCCTTTTCTCTGTATTCGAGTCTTCCTAATTTTCAAAGCCCTTTACTAAAGTCTAGCCCTCACCCATTACATTTCCATTTTCCTCCTCTTCTCTGAAGTTAGTGGTGTGTGCAGTAGGATGTGGTGCTTTGTTGGGCATCTTTCTGGTAGTTCCATGCATGTCTCTTTAGTTCTCCATATTGGAAGGGTAAGGCCAAGGCCTTTAGTGTTAGTTAGTTTGTTTTTTCCCCACCCCTGAGAGCTTAGCCAATGTTAAGGGACATGACAGTAATAGGATGGCAGAGACCACACTTTACTAAGGACTAGAAGTGCCACCTCACTGTATCACCTACATGATAGGGAAACCTAGCATTACTCCAACACCTATAGTCCTATTTTTCTCACTTGTAAAGCATATGTCTTTGTAAACCCTAATGCAGTAAGTAAATGTAGCATTATCTATAGCATTGTTGTTTGTCATTGTTATCGTCATCATCTTGTTCTTGATTGATAATTTATTTCCAGAAAGTACTAGATGTTGAGTTAGCATGCTGGCTCAACAGGCATACTTTAATTCTTTGGGCGGTGATTTCCAATTCAATTGCTCAAATTGGATCTAATTTCTGGCTTCAAAAATGACACAAGTGGAAAAAAGATACCTATATATGGCTCTTAGGAACTTCTTTAAGAGAAGACTTAGCAAATGTTTTGGGGGCAAAGTAGATTGGCTGATTTGGATTTGTTCTTAATGGAAAATTAAAGTTTTGAAAAAATTTTGATGTATAAAAGCATTTTTACAAGTATGAAAGTATAAACATTGAATTGCATAAAATTTTAAAGATAAGATACTTATAGATAATATGTATAATTAAACATGCATTCACACAAACATATATGTACATACTTCTTAAAAGCTTGGCATTAAGTTGCATGTCTGTACATATATACGTATCCAGTCTTGTATCCTTGTTTATTTGTTTAGCATATAAACACATTTTTAACTTAATGGTCTACAGGTTTGCAATGGTTTGGAGCAATCAAGGAAACAACAACGTTCTGATCTCAATGGACCCACTGACAATAACAACATTCCAGAGGTAATTTTTCTTAAGAATGGTAGTTAATGGCCATTATGAACCAGGGCCCAGCTTTTGGAACTGCCCACCCATGGTGATCTGTTCACCTCTCCTCTCCCTAATGTTGCCATTCCCACAGGTACCTGGGTGAGAGAGCATTCAGAATGTCCACCTAGGGGAGGCGATGAAGGCTGTTCCTGCTGATTAGGGAACACTGCCTGTTTCCAGGCTCATGGTGCATGAGAGAAACTCATCTTACCGTAGTGTGATAACCATCTCTAAATCAGGGCTCCACAACAATGGCACAGTTGATAATTCTGACTAGATCATTCTTTGATTGGAAACTGTCTTGAGCACCATAAGATGTGTAATAGCATTCCTGGTCTCCATCTGCTAGTTGATAAACATATAGGACCCTCTTCTCTGTTTCCAGATGTTGCCAAATGTTCTCGGATGGCATGTAATTGTTTTTAACCAACAACATAATTTTATAAATCAATCGCATTTAAAGTAAGCATACCATGGTAGAAATTATTATCATGAGGCCATAAGACAGTGACTTAATTCTGAGGAACATAGTTTGGATACGATTTTTCTCTCTTTAATTACCCATAATAGCATGCCCACCCCCTTTATCTTTTTTTAAAATATGTGTCATGTAATTCTAGTGTCACCTGTATAAGAACCATTGGTCTAGATGGCCTCTAGGCCAGATTTTAGCATTTTTTGGCTAATTTGAGGGTCTTTAGATTTTAAATGATAAGCTTGTACAACCCAAGGTTTCTACTGGAATTTATTACTAGTTTCCCCTCCCAATATCATATTGCCTGAATGAGACTGTGTTTGCCTGTGTGTGTGTGTGTGTGTGTGTGTGTGTGTGTGTGTGTAGAGCTGACTTCTGAGGAACACCAACACTCATGGGGTTTAACTTTTTATGTAACATTAGCTATCATCCACTTATAACTGTTACGTGTTTTATTTTCCCTGTTTCAAAACAGACAAAGAAAGTGGCATCATTTCCAAGCTTTGTGGCTGGTAAGTGACTTTGAATTTTCTCTCTTGATGGAAGGGTACTTTTACTTTTTTGTTCTTTTGCAAAGCTTGCTTGGAAAGCACACTTCCAAGGTGAATACAGCAATACAATGCAAGCTGCTTAGGAACTGTATTATGTGTCGGCTCTCGTAACAATTTCCTTCATGAAAATTAAGACTGGTCTCACAAAGATGGAGGTTAAGTATATACCAGTGTTCCACCTTTCTATGCTGCTTTACCACTCCATCATTTTTTATGTCAACCACCACCTGCTCGCCGTAGTATTCTCTTTTGTCCCGGGATTCTGAAATTTGCTTCAATCAATACTTAGAACTCTCAATGTAAGTGAAAATGGCTCATGTCTCCTGGGTGCTGGTAAGTCCTCAATCAAAACTTAGACATCCATCTGGAAGAGCTTTCTTATCTCCAATGTGTTCAAGGCTGTGGAAACTGGTACACTCAGTTCGAAGAACCAGATGCAGGATACCAGTTATATACTCCACTCCAGCTCTACCTGGTAGTTCGATCCCCTCTTCTGCTTCTCAGAGGACTCATTTAATATGCAGCAGGAAGGCAATGTATCTTGTTCAAAATTACTCATAGGCCAATCCTATCAGGTTCTTCCCCTATCTCTTTACCCAGACTCATGCAGGCAAAGTCATTAAGTGGGCTTTAAAGAGACTTTTGCTGAAAGAACCACATTAAATAATTCACTGCCACTACAAAGGCCATGTAGAATGTTTAGTAGAGAAGTGTGTTAGGCTGGGTTGACTAGAGAAACAGATCCAGAGACATATATATATATATATATATATATGAGAGAGCTCTAAATCAAAGAGCAATTGTATATTAAGAAAACTTCCCAGCCCAGTCCAGATCAAGTCCATAAGTCTGATATTAGCCCATAAATCTGACACTAGTCCATAAACATTTCTTCATAAGTTTCTCTTGAAGCTCACATAGCACATGCAATGATGCAGGAAGATCACAGGTCGGTGGGTGCAGTCTTGTGGCTTCAGTGTTGGTGGCAGCCTCTCAGCACTGGCGTGGGTCTCCACATGTCTCCTCCAGCGCTCTGAGTCCCAAGTCTCTCCGCGGCTTGTCAACAGGAAGATGAAGGCAGAGAGAGAGGAAGTTCCCAGAATCCTCATGAGAAGGCCATGCCCACAAGGAGGCATCTTCAGGCTGGGACCTGACTGACAAGCTAGACTCTCCCCACCCCCCAACACTTATTCATCAAGTTGACATGAAATTATGTAATTACCACAGGAGGGAGGTCCTACTTTGATTCAGGGAACAGTTGTCCATGTTATTTACTTACAGCCTCATTAATAAACATGACCCTAATAGTTGAATTAATACCAGTAAAAATGTCTGTATATGCAGCTAATAATGAAATGACACTTTTGATCATGGTGGATCTAATTGCATACAAGTTCATGTTGGGTGTTTTATTTGTTGTTTGTTTAGACTGCATGTTTCTTTTACTTTGCCTCTTTTTTGGTGGGATTTAACATTGCAGTTCAGCATTCTATACAAAGCACAGCTATGGATGTACTGTTCTGTATCACGCTTTGGTGTTAGGAGAATGTGTCTCGGAGTGTCATCTGATACACTTGTGGGATCTGTTAGGAGTTTGCTGGGACAATGTTTCTTACCCACATTGGTGTGTTATAATAATGTGGATTTTATTACTTCTTCAATACACTGGTCATTTTATGGATATTTATAGGACAAGGTAAATTATATTAAAAACAAATTACTGTAAACTTGTCCTACTCTACTTTCCTTACTTAGAAAATAACTGAAGTCTGAGAACTGAAATCTGACAAATTTCTTTTTAAGAAGCTAATTTGAACTGGCTAAACAAGCTCAAATGGGTTCAAAATGGATCAACTGGATCAAACTAATTTCAGTTGCTGTAAACTGGCTCAGTGCTGCTCAGATTTCATAGAAATATTTTTCAAATACTTGATCCAAATAGATGGGAACTTATTTTTACTAATTCAAATAGATGTGAGTACGTTTTGTCCAGTAGTTTAAATTCGGCTTTAAGTAAACTTTTTTTTACTTTAAACTTTTAGTTTAAAAAAACACCTTTAAAAAATCAGATCACAATAGATCCTGATGATTTCAACTCACATAGACAGAGTGTTGAGGAGCAACATTCTATAATATTATATAATATTAGAGAATCTTATAATATTAGAGCATTCATAATAGCAGGGCCTTCATGGACCAAAAATCCTACAAAATAACACATAATCATAATGAGGAAAACCTTAGAATGTCATGAGTGTGAGAATGCATTTGGGTGCAAACAACGAACATTCCACTTGTAAGTACAGAGAATTATTTTCCCTGCGCAAAGTAGTCTAGAGGTGAGCAGCTGCTGGCTTAAATGGCTTCCTGATGTCAGGATCAGTATTTATGTTTTTCTTGGCTTTTTCAGGATTATCATCTCATTGTTACTCAATAGCTCAAGACATTATTTCTTGTTCTAGGCAGGAAAACAACAAGAGTATGGTAAAACTCTACCATCTATCTATCTCCTTTTAGTAGGAAACAGTTACTGTGGCGAATGACTTAATGGGCTCTCTGCACTGCATAAGAATTTGACACCATTCTTTCTTACTCTGTTCTCATGGCATAATACACTAGATTACTTGCTATGGCTCTACTATCCTTAGTTTTTGTAATTCCCACTAAATGACAGGATTGAAACATGCAAATAGGGAGTAGCTGGGAATTCGTCAGTTCTGCTATCCTGCTAGGTATAAAATGAGCTATCTCAGAAGCAGGAGAAGGGGATCTCAGTACCATCAAGAAAGAAGAGTAGAGGCTGCACATATCTTTTGGCCCCAAAGATCCCTGTGTTGAATGTTTTTCATCCAGAAGTCTGCACTGTGATGCTAGAGGACCAAAGAGAAATCCGAAACAGGGGCAGCAGAACCAAGTGTCAGAGTGCAAGATCGCGGTGGGCTTTCCGTCCCAGAAATCTAGTAAAGCTTTAATGTCTTTATTATTAGCAGCTCAGGACTACCGTGTCCTTGCTTTGCATCCTGTCTTTGCTTTTGATGACACGTCTTAGTCTAGCAGACATAGTTTTGCTTCAGAGAATGAGCGTTACTGGAAGGTTACTTCATGTTGAACCCTCATTGCTTTCTTAAACTGTACTCGGTTAAGTTTTCCACCTATATAACTTAACATCCCATGTGTTTTAATCTCAAAAGCTTTCCTATATATTTCCTTTTCTCAATAGTGCTTTAAATCCTATACCATTGGCTAGATGCAGATTTACCAACTATCTCATGGACGGAAGTTATTTAATAAGATGATAATGATGACTCTGAAGTGGATCAGGAATATCTATATATATGAAATTTATATATACTAATGGATTTTGAGCTCCCGCTTTTTGAGAACACTTAGATATTAAGATATGGTGGTACTCAATACTTACTTGCATGAAGTGATCACTGAAGATAATGGGTGCTAAAGCACAGTGTGGTGAAGAAATCAGATGGTGCCTCACTATCAGAAAGAATAGCATCTGGAATTTTAAAACAGGCAGCCATCCAAATGAGGTGTCAGCTAAGTCCTATGTAATCAGCCTATGTAATCCAAGGATTGTACATAGTAAAATCCAAGATCAAAGATGGGAATTATAGTAGAGCTTCAATTCTGAGCACCCAGTTTTCAGAGGCTATGGATGACAAGGTGCACAATATCATTCAGACGTCACAGCAGAAGGATTGGATGTGAAAACCACATTAAGGATTAGATGAGGTAAATCCCACTGGGCTTTACCTCAAATTCACCTGTAACACCTTGAATTAACAGGGTCTAAAGTTCCAGTAATCTATATAGTACATGACTTGGGTCACCAAGGGCTGGTCAAAATTGTCCAATTAAGAACAAATTACCAGTGTATTCTCCCCTTGTGTTCTCTAGAAGTATCGTTAAGTGGTGAGTTGCTCCACCTAGTTTACCCACTGACAGAACTATAATTGCCTTCTCCAAGATGTATATACCCCCCTTGCCCCCTCTTGACTTGTCTTTTCAGTAAGGTTTCCTTAACACACTTGTAGGAATGTCTGTTGATTTGGGAAGACAGTAGCACAACGGTATAGGCAGGAACGGACTGATCTTCTCCCTTTCCCCTCATCTTGTGAAACTGACTCCAGCTGAGGTGAGGCCTCCTCTGTTGAAGTGATTTTTAATATGCACACATACCAAACCCCAAACACACTGCCATTGAGTCAATGCTGACTCATAGAGACCCGCTGTGGATTTTCGAGTGTGTTAGGCCAGGTTGACTAGAGAAACAAATCCAAGGACACTTATATGTGTTAGAAAGAGCTTTATATCAAGAAGTAATTGCATATAAGGAAAACATCCCAGCCCAGTCCAACTCAAGTCCAACGAGTCCATAAGTCTAATTATAGTCCATAAATCCCTCTTCAGACTCATGAAGCCACAAGCAATGATACAAGAGGATCATAGACCAGTGGGCACATAGTCTTGTGGATCCAATGGCAGTGGATGCATCATCTCCAGAGCTCGCGCAGGTCTCAGCATGGCTCATCAGCATGAAAGTGAAGGCAAAGAGAGGTGGGGAGGTTCCCAGGATCCTCCTTATGAGGAGGTCATGCCCACAAGGAGGTACCATCAGATTGTTACCTGACTGACAGGCTGGACTCCACCCCTGCACTTCACACAAAATTATGTAACTACCCCAAATCACCCCTTGTCTACTCGACACTTTTACACAACTCTTTAGCCATGCATAATTTTTAAATAAAATCATATTTGTGCCTAACAGGATAAAACTGAAAAGCATACAATGCAAAATGTGCTAGCCTTATTTAAATATAATATTCTGTAAGTGAACAAAACAGAAATATTCTGTGCCTAACAATTGTAATTATGTGAACACCTACATCATAATCCTATCAAAATATTCCCCCACCCTTGAAAGTTTGTGAGCCAGCCACGTCATG